CCAGGTAAAAATGCAACAATGTTCAGTCAGGTCATCTAGACAGTTTCTTTTCTTTTTTTTTTTCTGAAACATTTCGTCCATCATCCAAAGAACTTCTTCAATCTGAGGAGCCGTCAAAATAAATGGATTCCCACAAACAGCATATTACATAGTGGATTTTTTGTTTTGTTTTGCTGGTGCTTAATGGCCCTTAGCATGGCCATCTTAGCCTCTATGGTCCTCGCGGGCCCCGGAGGCCATTTTAGCACCAGCAAACTGTTTTTTTCCCCACTATGGAGTTTGTGGGAATCAGTTTTGTATGGTGGATTCTCAGACTGAAGAAGTTCTTTGAATGAAAGACAAAACACATTGGCAAAAAAAAAAAAAAAAAAAGTCCAGATGACCTGATTAAACATTGTTGGATTTTATACCTGGATTATTGAGCCTGAACTTTGGTGTTTTGAACCACTTTGGCATGACTGTCTCAAAGGAGTTGATGGGGGAGAAGGTGGGCCCTGGAGGCCATATTAGCACCAGCAAACTGTTTTTTTACACTATGCAATATGCTGTTTGTGGGAATCAGTTTGTTTTGGTGGCTCCTCAGATTGAAGAAGTCCTTTGGATAAAGAACAAAACGTCTCAGTAAAAATATGGTTGTGCTCCTAAAGTTTACCAATCATAGGACAATAGGAGGTTTTAAAGACCCTAGAGCTCCTCATATATTGCCTGGTTCCTATTTTTGACTAAAGCTAATTATAAGATAAAGATTTTATTCTGAATAGCACATAATGCGTGGAATTGCACAAAATGGTATGTTCCTTTCAAGAAAGCTTGTAGGTGATGGTTGTAAGATCAGGACCAGTGAGCTTTACAGTGTTTGTGCCTGTGCAACCCCTGACTGTGCAGTGACCCACCACTGGGGCCACACCAAGTCCCCGAGCAGCTCCAGCCAATGGCTCTTAGAAACTAATCTGCCCTGCGGAGCTCTGTAAAACCCCCTTTGTTGCCTCCTGCAGACTGGATCAGGTTCGAGAAGAACACCCCAGTCTTGACTAGCTATCACTTTCACAGCCCACAGCGATCCACATCCAGGCACAGGCCCAAGACCTGCAGAGCCACTGTCAAATTAAAGGTGGGTGAAAAGAGGGGGTTTGAGAGAGTAAATTTCAGGTGGTAGAGCAAAACGTTGTCACCTGGATTCCATCACAATCTGAAGAAAATAAAGATGTGGTTTTAATAAGAAAACAGTGGAAAGCAAGGAAGACTGAGGAGGAGAATTTCAACAGGAGCCCTGCCTCTTCATGAACAGAGCAGGATCTCAACAAGGCCATTATCTGACTCCTAATTTGAGCTCTGGCACAGCACTGAAGGGCTGCCTTTGTCTGGGATTAATGCGGAAAGCTCAGGATGCAATGTCAGAGGGAAATAATCAGCGTGGGCCCTTCATAACGTTGGCTGCTTGTGCTCCTGGCCAGGGTCCCCGGGCTCATTTCTGTGGAGATGAAATCTATGACAAGCCCCTCAGTGAAGCTGAGAGCAGGCAACAGTCCAGTAACACCCACAGGCCTGCAGGCATCCTGTGACCCCCTTAGAAAAGTCACATTCACTTTGCTCTGGAGAAGGGAAAGAGAACGCCTTAGGGGCTTCCAGCCCATGTGAAATGAAGAAATGTGAGGAGGTGAAAACGAAGTGAAAATAAGTTAAGATTCCTCCTCCGCTCCCGCTGCAATAACTGTAGAGGAGGGGCATTCTATGACTTCATTATGCCTTCTAATTAAACGTATACAGGCCATTGAGAAAAGAGAAAAAAATCGACAACTCCACAATGTATATTCATCTTTATGTTGTGTAACAGCATTTAGAAAAGCAGTTTGAGAAAGCTTTTTTTTTATGCAACAGAAGGTTGCCGACTAATACCCATCAGGGTAAAACATTCTGAAAGAGGTTGGCACTGTACTCAAGGACCAGAAGTAATGTTTTTATTTTGTTAGTTATGCTTTTTTACCAAGTGCATTACTATGCTCCTCAGCAGCACATTGCTGTTAAGCGAAGGATGTGAAGATGCAACTGGATAAGCAGGTTATTAAAATGACCAATTGACATTCAAAAATCAGACTTATTTTAGATTCATCATATTTAAACGGAGAATATGTGCAATTTTAATGTTTCTTCTGCTGCCTAAAGCCAAATATGACTTTGTACAGCAACTATGCATAACTTCATGTATACCCATTTGTTGGAAAACTATACTTCAGTCACTGCACATGGAATCAAGAACAAGAGATGTTTCATTGTACCAGCTCAAATAAAAAACAGACCCATCAAGTCACATGGAAGTCTATCAGTGCGCTGCTTGTAACAGATATTTTGTGTTAGTTATTTTTACATTGTGTAACTTGGATGGTGGGGGTAGCTTTTAGATTAAAGTCTAAACTCAGCTCATGCTCAACAGCTTAAAGAGCTTTGTGCTGAGAACACAAAGATTCTCAAAACTAAAGCAAACTGTTAAACAGAGAGTAACAAAGAGCGTTGTTCTCAAGGCATACCTGCTTTCTGGTGCCTCCATAAAGGGATTATAACATCACACTAATCAGTGATTGCAGATATGGGCAACTCCATCCACCTATACAGGAGTACAATAAATCAGAGGGCCACACAGTCACGTGTGTCAGAGCTCAAGCTGTAACGCAGCAAAACCTCAACCTGGATTCGGGTCTGGACAACTCCAGAAATAATATATATTTTACCAAAAGTCTATTTTCTGGTCCAACAAAGTTAAGTCAGGTCCTCTAGATGGTTTCTTTTTGTTGAAACGTTTTGTCTTTCATCCAAATTACTTTGTCAGTTCGAGGAGCCACAACAAATTCAGTCTTAAAAGTTCCTTCACACAGTGGGTCAACCAGTTTGATGATGCTAAGATGGTTTCTGGAGTCTGCCCTCTCCCCCGCCGACTCGCCTTAGGCAGTCATATCCAAAGTGGTTCAAAACATCAAAGTTCATGCTCAATAATCCATGTTAAAAAAAATCCAACAAAGCTAACTTTGTTGGATTTTTTTAACCTGGATTATTGACCATGAACTTTGATCTATCTTCTGGTGCTTCATGCTCTTGTTTTGTTGACATGCAAACTTCAGTCCCAGCCCAAGGCTCTAGGCATTCTGGAAAAAGGTTTAGGTGGGTACCGTTTCATACTTTTGTGAACCCATCATCACTCCTCTACCTTGGTTTGTATCTTAGACCCTTGGAGAAAAAAAAAACACTTAGCAAATAAAAGATAATTGTTCCAAATGGCATTAAAAAATTCAGCTGAGGTATCTAAGTCTTAACTAACCTCACGATTTGATTTGGCTATAATTCTTCAGGTAATTTGACGCAAGTAAAAATTTACCATGCACAGCCATTTTTTAAATAACAATTATCCATCCATACATCCATTTTCTTTACCCGCTTATTCCATTTTGGGTCACGGGGGGTCGCTGGTGCCCATGTCCAGTAATCACTGTGCGAGGGGCGGGGTACACCCTGGACAGGTCGCAAGTCCATCACAGGGACACATAGAGACAAACGAGACAAACAACCATTCACTCTCTCACTCACACCTAGGGACAATTTAGAGTTACCAATCAACCTAACATGCATGTTTTTGGACTGTGGGAGGAAACCGGAGTACCCGGAGAAAACCCACGCATGCACGGAGAGAACATGCAAACTCCACCCAGAAAGGCCCCTGGACCGGGGTTTGAACCAGGGACCTGCTCGCTGAGAGGCAGCAGCTCTACCAGTTGCGCCACCGTGCTGCCCAATAACAATTATTATAGTTCTAATTAAAATTTATAATTTAGTGCTTTAATGAGGTGGCACGGTGGTGAAGCTGTTAGAGCTGCCGCCTCTCAGAGAGAAGGTAGTCGGATCAAATCCCGGCCGGGGACATTTCTGGGTGGAGTTTGCATGTTTTCTCCGTGCATGTGTGGGTTTCTCCAGGTACTGGTTTCCTCCCACAGACAAAAAACATGCATGTTAGGCTGATTGGTAACTCTAAATTGTCCCTAGGTGTGAGAGAGAGAATGAATGGTTGTTTGTCTCATTTGTCTCTATGTGGCCCTGTGATGGACTGGAGACCTGTCTGGAGTGTACCCCGCCTCTTGCACAGTGATAGCTGGACATGGGCACCAGTGGGCACCAGTGGGCACCAGTGGACCCCTGCGACCCGAAAAGGAAGAAGTGGGTAAAAAATAATGGATGGCTGAATGGATGGATGTTTAAATTGTTTAAGATGGTTTTACTTCAATTTTATTCCTCAACCATTTGACTCTGAAACTAATTAGAAACAGAAATTACAGGTCTATGAGAAATTGTCACTTAAAGATGCCTACTACATGTGGGCCTAAATAAAGGACAGTATTTGTTACTGTGAAGTATAATTTTTTCCAAAAGGCAGATCTGGTTGTTTTTCATCATTAGGTTGACAGAATATAAACAAGAAGGAAAGAGTTATGGATTCAAAGTCAGACAGAGTTATGTTACTACAAGGGATGGGGCCGATCCGATCCAGTATCGGTATCGGCCTCCGATACCAGCACAATTTACGTATCGGATTTTTCCGATCCACCTGCCGATATTTCCAATCCATGATGCAAGTTGGCTTCAAACTATGGAATGGATTTCCTGAACGGCGGCATGTCTCATGAGCCCAGAGTAATAAGACCGGCCTCACATTCAGGAAATCCAGTTCATAGTTTGCAGCCAGCTACAACGTGAGGACTGAGTTAGCAGCACTGTGGCTAACTGCTAACCAACTTTTCATCTAAACATGTCCGCTGTGTGGAAGTATTTTACACTAGAAACACCACAAAACAAGACAGCAACGTGCAATGTCTGCAGAGCCATAGCGCCACATTAAACCACGTTAAAGTTAGTTTTACAATGGACATTCGAGCTCCGTGGCTTCAGCGGGGCGCTACTCTTTGGTCAAACCGAAAGAGGCGACTCGACACCGGCCAGCCGCGTCCAATCTGCCCCGCTCAATCTGCCCTCCTCCGAGGAGGGACAGACTGAGTGTGGCTACCCCAAATCAGGCTGCCTGCTTCGGACTGAACAAGAAGAAGACGTCACTGAAACCCCGGAGCTCAAATGTTTACAGAGAAGTTGCTAAACTTCATCATAATTAATGACCAACCACTATCAGTTGTAGAAAACGAAGGATTTTGCAGCTTGATCCTTGCAGTCAAGATATAGTTTACCCTCCAGGAGATATTTATCAGTACAACAGTAGACAATCATAAAAAACATGATTTGAAAATTATATATATTAAAAACATAAACAGCTACATTATAAAGTGATGTAAAATACTAAAAACAGGAATATGTCTGTTGGTTTATGCCATGAACTTAGCAGATGTTTGAAGCCATTTAACATTTAATTTAATTTAATTCATTTATTCATTCATTTAAATGAAACAAAATTTAAAAAAAAAAATCAAAAAGAAAACAATGAATGAAAAGAGTGCAGAAAGAAGAAAAAATTCTTATATCTGCCCCTTATAAAATATAAAACAACTTTAAACAATCACTTAAATTAATCACTTTAATATCCACTTTAAAGCTAGGAATAAAAAGAAACATGTTTTGTGTTAGCAGAATTTAATTCTAACTTTAAAACTTATCCAACATTAATAAAACTTACCTCAAGTTGTCTTTTTGGACATGCATGAATATATTTGTACAAACTATACTTGAGAGGAGATTATTACAGCCTCATATAAAATCAATGAGAATCATGATATCGGAACTGGATCGGTATCAGCCGATACCCAGATCTAGGTATCGGGATCGGATCGGAAGTTAAAAAAAAAAGTGGATCGGTGCATCCCTAGTTACTACACCAAAATCCCATCGTCCCTGCTTTAAATGGTCTCTAAACTATAAGATACCAAAAGGTAGGCTCATTGCTATGTTTGAAAGACTTGAACCAAAAATGATGGTGAAACTGATGTTGTCAGGGGGTATAACAAGCCAACAAAACCATGTGGTAATGAAAAACAGAGAAAAGAAAGAACACTGATTCTTACCTCAGTTCCTGATGGCGTAGACCCCGGTGAGTCCAATTTACGTTTTTTTCTGGGTCCAATGAAGGCTAGTGCTGTGAGATTGGCATCTCGTTGTCTCATCTGTGCCTCTTCTTGCTGTTGCATCTAATAAAGACAAAAGAAAAAAATGTGATTTGACTTTTGAGTTTATACTTACAGTATAAAAATGGGCAAAATTTAGATGTGCATAAAAAATATATATATATTTTTTCACAAAATCCTAAAAATATTACACAGCTAATTTTCCCCAAGCATTTTCCCCAAATAAAGGTGAGTAATGGACTGGTGATATGCAAGAACCCTAAAGTTTTGAATTTTTATATATATAGTAGTCCATTGATACTTTGCGATTCAACTTTCGCAGACTCACTCTTTCGCGGGTTTTCAACATAAAATTATACACAACCCATGACTGACTGATTCATGGAAGGTGACCAACCAAAGCATTGTGCTGAGAGGAAGACTGGCCATTGGGAGCACCGGGAAATGTCCCGGTGGCCTGGCCCACTCAGTGATCGCTGAGGGGGACTAAAGGCTTGGATCAGGCCACACTTGATTAGTTTAAATAAACAATCCATGCCACTCGTGCGGCTCACTCAGGTACAAGACAGACCCCCGCCCCCTTCTTTCTTTTTTCAAGGCAGTCTGTCACATCACAGCAGAGACACAGAACAGGCGGGCGCGCAACCTCTTGAGTGTCTCTGCTTAGCTGTGACAGACAGCCTCAAAAAGAGAAAAGAGGGGGCGGGGGGTGGGGTCCGTCTTTCCCCATCGCTGCTGTGGGAGCTTCAGTGAGGTGGATACCAGAGTGAGCGGCATGGATTGTTTATTTAAAATAATCAAGCATGACCTGAACCAAGACTTTAGTGCCCCTCGGCAATTATCGAGCGGGCCAAGCCACTGGGAAATGTCCCGGTGCCTCAATGGCCAGTCCGCCCCTGATGGTCAGTCCGCCCCCGACGGCCAGTGCGCCCCCGGGCGCTGTTTGGCTCAGTAACCGTAGCATCAGTCTGTCTGATTTTTTTCGTTGTGCTCTTTTAGAGTGTTTAGAGAATTTAGAATATTGTTAAGAACATTGCAAGAGTGTGGGAAGGGTTTATAAAACCTTAATATATATAAATATTAAAATGAATATAACGTCCCTACTTCGCAGATTTTCACTTATAGCGGGAGTGCCTGGAACGTAACCCCCCGTGATAAGTGAGGGACTACTACCGGTATATATATATATATATATATATATATATATATATACACACACACGTTTATACATTTTGTTCGTCAACAGAAATGACACTTTTAAACAAACTTGACTGGAATTAGAATAACGAAGCAGCAGTGGCATTGACTACTTATTCAAATTAAAGAACTACAGTGACTGTTTCTGTCCTGTGTAAACAGAAGATATCAGTAGTTTACAGAGCCCCACCTAGAGACTCCGTTTGTGCAATCACATAATCCTGTTTTATTTTTGCAGTTTGTGATGTATAAACTGGTCATTTGTGGAGGGGGTGTACACTGCCCAAGGTAATGTCATGTTTTGCTTTAGGGCTGTGGGTGAACTCGTTGTTACTGGGAGCTGCCCTTTCTATTGGGTGGAGGTGTGAGAGCCTGGGGCCTGAGCGTGGAGGGTGCCAGTCCTCCCAACATGCAAACACAATGTGCCCCCCCCCAACACACACGCACACACAAAGATACACTTCCACACGTCTATCAATCCTGGACACAGAACAGGGAATGCCTGCCCACCAGCTTGCATGCGTGCCTGCCTGCTGGGGGAAAGAGGCCTGGGTTTGTTGGAGAAAACAGGGACAATCAATGTGCGCCTTGATGTCTTTCATGTTATCTCTCAGCATGTGTTCGCTGGGCTCTGGTGTTTGCGTGGGGCACGTACGTTGTCTGATCGGGGGAAAATTTCATGTTGCTTTTCAGATGGCGCTCTGTAAAAGGTTGCTTTGGTGTACAAAGTCAGACCTAAAATGTGCATGCAGTTGCCTCTGATTTTTTTTTTTCTTCAAAACCCCGCTGGCGAGGCATGTCCTTTAGGGTGTTGCCACTTCACATTTAGCACGGAGGAACTGTTGAAAGATTCAAACACGCTGACAAAGAAAGGGAAAATAATAGCAGCTGAATACATCAACCATATTTATGTGGCCTTTTTATGAAAAAAGCGAAAATACAACTAACTTACAACACATATTAATAAATAATGCCATAAACAAGTTTGTTCAGTTAATTCATACTGTGCGCCTTTTCAGACCCCTATGCAGGGAGACACAAGTTACAAAGTAAAGATAGTGGCTAGATGATCAAGGCTCCTGTCGACATAGACAATAAAGGCCTAATGTTATCATTGATGATTGTATCTAGCTTTGACATAAATAACCGACAATCCTAATAGACCTGACCTTAAAGAATCCCACTGTACTGTGAGCAGTGGCAAAGTGACAAAGCAAGGAAGAGAGAGAGAGAGAAAGAGGGCCGCCATCTCCCTGATGGCACCGGGATGCCGGCATCTCTGGCTGGCAGTTGGCACCAGGCATGGGCTCACAGTGCCCACAGCAACTGCCTGCATTTTCAGATTTATGACTGTATGATAAATGAAGACTTCATGTTACCATCTGCGAGCCTTCGTTTCTCGTCAGCAAAGTGGCCGCCATGACAATGGGAGACTGATTTCCGATTTCGATTGGAAGCATAAAGACAGAGTCTACATTTTTTAACCATCTTTTTAGCTGTACAAAATGTATGTAAAAATGTTCCTTTTGAGAATCTCAGGTGAACAAATGGTATGAAGTAATAAAAGCTGCTAAAGTTATCATCAACTGTTGACGTATATTGAAGATGTTAAGTGGAGACACTTGTTTCTTTTGTGCATTCTTTGAACTTGTGGCTTTTAGATATAGTAGTATGATTGCTATAAGCTAAACATTTTCTGTTTCTTTGTGACATTTTGTAATGTTGTGGAACAACAAAATAAAAGCACATCTATGATATGCATCTGCAATAATCTTGCTGTACCTTCTTGAAGTAGTCTGTTACCATGTTAAGCAACAACATACAATCACTATAAACAGCAAAACAAAAGGTCACAACTGAAAGTAGTCCCTGACTTGAAGAATAATCAGTTGGCAGGATGCATGCATTTGCCAACTCCAATCAATGGTATCACATAACTACCTGCTGAGCTAAAGTCACCTAAATACCAGTGCTTCCAGTCCGCCTCAGTGCCCTTTGAAAGGAGGGAACTAAGACTTGTAAAGTCATATTATTAGCAAAGGTCAAGCAATGTAGAAAATTGATCTGTAGTTTTGTTAGAAACAGGGATTAGTCTGTGTGCCTGAAGCAAAGTTTTATATGACATCTTTTTGATCAATGTGAAATCTATGGAGTTAAACATATGTACACTGAACAAAAATATAAAAGCAACACTTTTGTTATTTCTCCAATTTTCACAAGCTGAACTCAAAGGTTTAGGACTTTTTCTATGTACACAAAACGCCTTTTTCTCTCAAATATTGTTCACAAATTTGTGTAAATCGGTGTTAGTGAGCACATCTCCTTTGCCAAGATAATCTATTCACCTCACAGGTGTGGCCTATCAGGATGATGAAGAAGATCAGCATGATTATTGCACAGGTGTGCCTTAGGCTGGTCACAATAAAAGACCACTAGTTAAAAACGTGCTAGCTAAAAGGCTACACATGTAGCATCCACCTCCCTGATACATCCACTCCCCTTCACCCCGGTCAACAAAAATCACCGAAGAGGAGAGCGCCCTGCCAAGGCAAGTGACCTAGTGGAAACACTGCTGGATGTGGAGGAAGTGGGCTGGTGTGGTAACACGTTGTCTGCGATTGTGAGGCCGGTTGGATGTACCGCCAAATTCTCTAAAACACCTTTGGAGACAGCTTATGGTAGATAAATTAACATTCAGTTCACTGGCAACAGCTCTGGTGGACATTCCTACAGTCAGCATGCCAAATGCATGCTCCCTCAAAACTTGCAATGTCTGTGGCATTGTGCTGTGGTAAAACTGCACATTTTAGAGTGGCCTTTTATTGTGGTCAGCCTACGGCACACCTGTGCAATAATCATGCTGTCTAACCAGCATCTTGATGTGCTACACCTGTGAGGTGGATGGATTATGTCGGCAAAGGAGAAGTTCTCACTAACACAGATGTACACAAAGTTGTGAACAATATTTGAGAGAAAAAGTTGTATTGTCTACAGTCTTAGATCTTTTGAGTTCAGCTTGTGAAAAACATGGGAGCAAAAACATGGGAGCAAAAACAAGTGTTGCGTTTATATTTTTTCTGTATATGTTTTTAAGATATATAACCAGTAGTTACCTGCTAAATGTTTATTAGTTAACTTAATAATGTGGTAGAGATTGTTTTTACGTTAATATACATCGCCTTACAACCTAGCTGTTTTTTAGTTAATTTTTTTAATACCATTTTATTTTCACTTGTTATTCTCAATTTGTATTGATCATTTTATGATTGTCAATTGTGTCTTTGTTATGCACTGTTGTCATCACTCCTTGTTAAAATCAGGTCTCTCTTGTAAATGAGGCTCTATGGGATTAAGGTTGAATGAATGAATCAAAATAATTAAAAAATAAACTGGAAAATATATTCAGATATTACAGGCATGTAATATAGTATTATTAATTAATATTAAATATGATGTAATATAGTTTGATTAAAGGAAAATGTAAAGAAAATACTGATAAAAAAAAGCAAACAAACAAATCCACTGTATAAAAGGTGGTGAAAACAAAGAAAAAAATGGGACATGGTAAAAAATAAAAAAAAACTTTTAAAATTATTGCACTCCTCCATATCATAAAATGTTAAATGTGCCACAACAGACACTGAATATAAATTTATGTTAATAGAAAATTTGATATTCAGTACAGGGCAGCACGGTAGCGCAACTGGTAGCGCTGCTGCCTCTCAGTGAGCAGGTCCCTGGTTCAAATCCCGTTCCGGGGGCCTTTCTGGGTGGAGTTTGCATGATCTCTTCGTTCATGCGTGGGTTTTCTCCAGGTGCTCCAGTTTCCTCCCACAGACCAAAAACATGCATGTTAGGCTGATTGG